TGCTGACGCAGGCCAAGTACTTGACCAAGAAGACCCAGGCTGCCAGCGTGGAAGCCGTGAAGATGCTGGACGAGATACTACTGCAGCTTTGTGTGAGCACTTGGAGCGGGTTAGGGTTGGCTGGGGCACCTTTGGGGGCAAGGAGATGCTCCTGAGCCAGGAAAGGTTGGAGGGTGTGGGGTGGCAGACACCTCTGGCCCCCAACTTCCCTTTGAGTGCTCCACATGGTGCAGTACAAGAAGGCAGCAAGAAGGGGAGGCAGAGAGGGGCCCAACCTCAAATCTCTCCCCTTCCCTCTCCCTCTCTGTGGTAAAGCCAAGTGGAGCTTCCTGGAGGGCAATGACTGGGACCAAATTGGGGAGTGAGGCAGACCTGGCACCAAGCTCCAGCCCTGGCTTTGCTCTGAGGTGGCATGTGAAGCCCCTTCCGAAACAGCGTGGTTTGGCTACCTCTGCTAATCCCTGCTCTGCCCACAGACCTCCGTGCCCGTGGATGTGATGCCTGGCGAGTTTGACCCCACCAACTATACGCTGCCCCAGCAGCCACTGCATCACTGCATGTTGCCCCTTGCCAGTGCCTACTCCACGCTCCAGTTGGTCACCAACCCCTACCAGGCTGATGTGGATGGTGTCAGGTAAAAAAAATGCTCAGCCACCAGGCCCTCGACAACTGCTGCAGCATGAGCATCATGGGGACAACTCAACTCCAGGTACAGCCGTCCAAATCTCTCCTTCCTTCTCCCCAAAACATGGCAGGTTTTTGGGGACGTCGGGGCAGAACGTCAGTGACATCTTCAAATACAGCAGCATGGACGACTACCTGGAGATCCTGGAATGGACGTTGCGGGTGGGACACATCAGCCCCACGGCCCCAGACACCCTGGGTAAGGCCCGGGCTGGGTGGCTGCTAAGGGAGCTGCTGGTGACAAGGGGTTGAGCACCCTCCAAAGGGGTGCAGATGTAGGATACTCATCTCGTTTCCATTCCCTCCAGGCTGCTACCCCTTCTACAAATCAGACCCTTTCATCCTCACTGACTGCCCTCACGTCTACTTCTGTGGCAACACTCCCCAATTCCAATCCAAGATGTTCAAAGGTGAGTCCCAGATCCTGCAGGACCTTGAACCATCGCAGGCTGGGACTCTTCCAGTCCCCACCCTGGGCCAGGGGACTGAGCCAGAGTGCAACAGTGCCTGAGCTGGAGTGTGCTGATGCAGAGGCTTGTCTACCTGACCCCCCTGCCTGTCCTTGCAGGAGACAACGGGCAGCAGGTCCTGCTGGTGACGGTGCCTGCCTTCAGCGCCACGCAGACTGCCTGCCTCATCAACCTGCGCGACCTCAGCTGCCAGCCCATCAGCTTCTCTGGCTTCGGTGCTGAGGACGATGACGGGGACATGGAGGTCGGGCACTGACTGAGCAGGCAGGGTACGGACTCAATAAACCCCTGGCCCCTCTCACGGCCCCTGCGGAGGGGCCTGGCACCCACCTGCTTGTCATCCTCTTAAGTCCTCATGGGTGGGCTGGCATAGAGCCACCTGGGCACAGGACCGGCAGCAGAGAGAAGCGAGGTGACGCTTGTACCAATATAGCTTGATTTATTTGTGTAACGAAAACCGTGGGGGG